TCACATATACTGTATCACAGCACCACAGCCTCTCTGTGCCCACTAACAGGTGAGCCCCACTTAGCCAGCAGAAACTATCAGACCAGGGCTATTTCTGTTTTATGTTTTAGGCAAATAAATGCAGTACAGCAATATAAATAATCGATTTTCTAGGTTTCATACTGCTAAAAAACAAGTTTTCCGGACTATGTTAGATACTAATGATAGGCTCATACAGCCCAATTTTAAAGTGCACATTAGAGGATAATAAATCCTGCAGAAGCTTCAGCCTCTATAATATCATAGGTTAACAGTTTTACAAATTTATAAACATTACATTAATTAGAAACAATAGATTCTTCAATGAACACTGCCATGTTCTTCATCTGAGATGAATTATGAAGAACATCCAAATCTTTTAGAAGAGCATTCTGGTTCGGAATCATCATCAAAATTTCTTTCTGCAGTGTGGGGGTTTTCAGACAGCGCTGTTATGTCTATCCAGATGAAGCATCTCTTTTGCCTTTTCCTCTTCTTCCTCTATCTCATGTTCTAGAATGTCAATTTTGTTTTTCAGACTCTGAATATTCCTAGTCACTGATTCTGTAGTCTCTACTATTTTATCTATTTCTTTCAGCAGTAATGTCAGTCCTTCTTCATTAGCTCTGGCCTCTGCTCTTTCCATTTTCAGTAGACTTGACTCATTAGTTAAATATTTCAGCTTTGGGTGAGGGGCTTTCAGGGTTTCACACACTTGTAGCAACCTTTTCTTTAGATAGATGAGATGATTCTGAATTTGTTCTTTTCCTTTAGCATTACTTGAAATTGCTATTATCACTGCTTCCATCATAGTCTGCAAATGTACCCTCACACTCTTTGGAAGAGGTTGCCAAGTTTTTCTCTTGTTGGATGCTATCTTCATCTGTTTTAGATTAATAATTGTTTGCCCTTTAGAAGACATATGTTTTGGATGATTTTTACTTCTTCTTCTTCTTCTTTTTTTTTTTTAACTTCTTTTTATTGTGCTTTCTACCTTCTTTCTCTGACAACTGCACTTTATCATTAATTCTTCTCTTTGAACTTTTTTTTTTTAATTGCTGAGACTTTTCCTTGGAAGCATTTGCTTTATTAGGCATCTTGATTTAAATAGTACAATTATGCTGCTTTTAAAAACTCACCAAATCTTAAATGTGTTTGAGAGTTGAACTCAGGAATTAGCGCCTAAACAACCAAAATCCATTGGGACTGGAAATATGTGTCTACTTTGTCAATCTTTAAAAAACATAATTTAAAAAACTGCTTCTTTGTGTAATACGCGGACATATGAATTTTTCCTTTTAAATGTAAGGATGTATCATCACGTCTCCCCACACACAAGGTGGATGCAAGTTTCTCAAAGGCAGAGTCTGTATAGTTTTCTACCTAATTTGCCATTTTTAGAGGACTCAGCATGACACTAGGCTCATAGGAACTTTTTATATTTTGCAGTGATGGGGATCAAACCCAGGGCATCCAAGCACCAGGCAAGTATATTATCACTGATATACATCCCCAGCCCAGAAGTTAAGTTTCACAAAGTACTGGTCCTTCATTTTATCATTTAAAAATTAGTAGATTTTAAGGACAAGCTTTTATTCTTTTTTCTGTTTCCACAATATTTCTAGTTTTTACTTTAGCTTCAAGGAAATCACATACTATTTCCTGATAGACCACAAAGGTCTTCACAGAACTTTCTTTACCGGGTGTCTTCCAGCCTGATATTATATAGGATGGAATCAAAGGAGAAGAAATTTTCTGAAAAACAAATTTATTTATTTATTCACTTATTTATTTTTGTGGAACCAGGGATTGAACTCAAGCCCTTGCACTGGCCAGGGAAGCACCTATTCCACTGAGCCATCTCCCCAGCCCCCAGATTTTTCCTTTTAAACATAAGGAAGTACCATCAGGTCCTCTTCCTCAATTTTTCAATTCTACACTTAAGATTCTCTGAAACCTCATTACTGAACAGAATACACTTTCACATCCCTATCTTTTGTTGGTGTTTTTGAGAGAGGGCCTGGTTCTGTAGTACAGGTGAGGCTTGAACTCACTGTACTGTCCAGGCTGGCATGATATGCATGATGATCCTCCTGTCTCAGCTTCCCAATACTAGGATTATAGCTGTGCACTGTCATGTCTGGCCCTTATCTTTTAAAACTAGTTCTTTGGGATGGGGAGTTAGCTCAGTGGCATAAGCGCCTGCTTGCCAAGTGCAAGGTCCTGAGTTTGATCCCAGTTTTGCAAAAAACAAAAACTGGCTCTCACCCTATTTTCTGGAATTTATAGATTCTGTGCAGCCAAAATGTATACAGGGGTCAACAAATATCTGATGGCACTCAGTATTTCCAGTATGCTGTTCAGAGTAGTTTACTCTAGTCATTACAGGCCATCAGTGAGGAGAAGAAATCTGATAGGGTAGGGTCAGGGATGTCCTTAGGCACGCAGTTTTGTTGCTAAGGGAAGGGGATCCTGAAGCCAAGGGCAGAGAAGACCAACAAATAACTGATTAATAAGTGGACAGGGACTTGGACATAAGAGTGATTAAACAAGATCTGACTTTTCACAGACTTTTCTGTTAGCATGAACAATTTCTTTGTAGTGACTGCTTCTTTCACTTTCTTAGTGTATGAAATACATGGAGAGGGATTTATTTACACTTTTGGTTATCTCTATCACATGCATCTCGATGGCAAATAGAGCTTACTATCTTTTAAAGGTGTGATATAAATGCAAACACATGCATCTATACACACTAAAAATTCCTTCCCTATTTTGGGCAACTTTCTCAGTCTAGGGTTCCAGAATTGTACTTCTAGGTTAAAAGTATGAATATTATATCTTTGGAAAGATAGACCAATACAACAATCTCAAGAGTTTAGATTAGCATGTCAGTCAGTTTTGAACATTATTATTCCACCGGGGAAAAGAACATTAGTTAACTAAAAAAACGTAACTGACCAGTAGGCTCTTAACATAGGAGTAGACCATTAAAACCTTACATTGCTTGGGGCTGGGGACATAGCGCTGCTGGGCAGTGCTTGCCTGACAAACGCCAGGTTGTGAGTTCTGGGGTAAAAAAAAAAAAAAAAAACCTTTACATTGTTTGGTCTTGAGGAAAACAGTTCAATCTGGTTAAGACATAGGCTCTCAGGTCAGACTTTCAGGGGGAAGCTGACTTCCCACTCAGTGACTGGTTTGATACCTGGCCTTACCAAGCTACTTAATTTCTAGTGCCTCAGTTTTCTCATCTGTAAAATGAGAATACAGCAGTCCCTCACTTATCACAGAGGTTATGTTCCAGACACCCCACGTTAAGTGAAAGTCAGCCAAGTAGCTATACTTATTTTAGTATTTATATATATATAAAGGCTTTATAAACCCTTCCCACACTCTAATAAACCTTTCCCACACTTTAAAAGCACTTCTAAAGTTAACCATTTTCTAAATTTGTAAACCTATGTAATTTTAACAACATGTATAAAGCACAGTACTGTATGTATTCATCTGCTAAAGAAATACTGTAAACTATTTTGATTTAATATTCTTTTGATATGTTAGAATTAACAGTTTAAATACATTTTATCTAATTTAAATTTTTTAGGCAACAATCATTAAAACCATAAATATTACGCATATAAATATGTATACAGTACTGTACACTACCGCAAAATCCCACGATATAGCGAAAAATCCATGATAAACAATTTAGATTAATAGTTTTTGAAAAACCGGCAAAAGTGAGTCCACGAAAGTCAAACAGCAAAATAGCAAGGGGCCACTGTAATAGTTCTGAAAGTAAAATACTTAGATTACATATTGGCATGTAGTTAAGAGCTTCATACAGGCTATCTATAAATTATATTTCAGCAACTCTCTAGTTTAAAATTAATATCGTTCTCTTTTTTTATGTACGTGGTACAGGGTCTCACTATGTAGCTTGGACTCAGTGATCCTGTTTTCAGCATCCCCAGCGCTAGGATGACAGGCGTGGGACACCATGCCCAGTCTCTTGTCACCAGCCAGGTCGCCCATGGGGTGGGGCTGGTGCGGCATGTGGTGCCAGGGATCTAAAATTAATTTCTTAACGCTAATTTTACATGAAAATTGTGGGGTAATTATTCTTACACTGAAGCCAAGTGAATGTAATGCAAACTTTTCATGAATAAAATACTTCAAAGAAATTACAATGGGTTGTTCTAAGACCCTCGAACCCAGACACCATACAATGTGTGGAGAGTTTGACAAGTAGGGAATCAGGCCCCACACAGGACCATGGCTCGCTAGGCAACAGTTAAATATTTCTGACTCATTAGCATCCACTCTCATAGACCTCCTGAATTCCTTCGCTTGGATGATGCTGGGCACCACTTCTCCTGGGGTACCCTACGTCACTACGAAATTACCTCTCTCCTATCAGCTTTGGAGTAGCTGCACCCCAGCCAAGAATTATGAATAGCAACAAACCAGCTTGGTGGCTTCCTAGGTATTTTTATTATTCTTTTTTTGTATTAGGCTATACCTGAGGGCACATTTCGGAGGCCACAGGAAGTTTCCGCGACACTAATTTTACTCCCCCAAGGAGCGGCGCGGTTGTTTACACACTGAGGAGCTGCATTGTTGGCCTTGTTTATCATCATTCTAGAAAGCCAAGTAGCGGACTTTTCGGAAAGGAATAAACCCGCCCCGAGGTTCCTGCGCAGCCACCTTCTTGGGGGTGTTCGGCGGCACCCAGACTCGTCCCCGGGTTCTGGGCGTGCAGGGCTCCCCCAGTCCAGAGAAGGCACCCTGGATCCCACGCACGTGACGTGGAAGGAACCACCTCCCCGCGTGTGATTTTCGAGTCCGCAGGTTTCCAGCGGCGGCCGCGGACCCCGAAACCACCGCGACACAGAAGACCCGAGGTTTCCCAGAGACGCGACAGTCCACTACTCACGCCACCCCTGCGTCCAAGGCCTGCGCGGGGCGCCCGGGACTCTCACCTGCGGCGGCGGGTGACCCCCACAACGCCCCGGTCACCAGCACCAGGGCCGTGGCTCCCAGCAAAGCGAGCATCCTCCCGGAGGCAGCCACCACTCACATCTTCGGGCGCGAGTGCGGCCGGCCGCCGAAGAACCTCAAGCCGTGGCCGCAGTGGAGGCCTCCGACAGGCTGACCCGCCCACTCCCTACGGGACTCGGACAGCCCGGGGCCAGCCCGCACTCCAGTTCCCGGAAAGCCGCGCCCAGCCGGAGGCCGAGTGCCACAGGCCGTGCGCAGTGCGCCTGCGCGGGGCTCTGTGCCTTAGGCCCCGCCCCCAGCGGCAGCCACTTCCGGTTCTTGGCCGGCGGGTGGCAGCTGGGCGGCTGTGGTTGATTTGTGTCGCGCTGCCCTAGGGATGCTGTTTTTTTTTTGGTACTGGAGCTAGAACTCAGCACCCTGTGCTTGCCAGGCGAGCACTTATTCCACTGAGCTAGTTCCCTAGCCCCCGTCCCCCTTTTTTTCCCCCGTCCAAGGATGCTGGAATGAGGGATACTGGAATGAGCGAGCTATCAAGTTTTTGTTTGTTTGGTTTTGCGTCTTCGCCTCTTCACATCTCCCAGAGATTGAACCCAAGAGTCATCGCACTGAGTTATCTCTCCAGCCATTTTTTGTTTTTTACTTTTTCTTTTGACACAGGGTCTCGCAGCGTCGTTCAATTTCCCAGGCTGGGCTCCAATTTGGAATCATCCTGCCTGAGCCTCCCGGAGCGTTGGGATTACAGGCCTAAACCCGGGTTCCAGCTAGTGAGTGCTCTTTCAGATTGATGTAGCTGAGGAACAGGAAGGCTGTCTCTAGCTTTCTTTGCTCTGACCTTCTGAGCTTGCCATTCCAATGGTTATTTATCTACATATACTAATAATAGGTTATGGACAATGAAAATTGCGAGGTGAGAAAGTATGAGATGACCGACCAAATACTTAGTTGTTACTTATAACAGCTAAATTATTAGTTACCAACTAAATGGTAAAAATGAGTATCTGTAAAGGAGAACATGATTGTAAAACATCTTCAGGGTGTAATTTATATACCATGAAGTTCATGCATCTCAGCTGAACAGAATTTTAGTTTACCTCGTTGCTAATCCTTGTTTTTTATTTATTTGTTTACTTATTTGATACAGGGTCTTGCTGTGCAGCCGGCACAGCATGTAGTAACAGGGATTGAACCCGGTCCTTGAGCTTGCTAGGGAGGTGCTTATTTAGACTGCCACACTATTTCCCCAGCCCTACTAGTCCTTGTTTTTGAAAACTGGATTTTCACTTCAGGGATTTTGTGAGTGGGTGTGTTCACATATCTTCTTGGGTTAGTTTTCTGTATGAGTTCGAAGAGAAGAGGAAAATTCCTGATTGTGGATACTAAGCCATGCTTATTTATAAGAGCCTTAAAAAAAAAAAAAACTTTAAGACTTTTATTAGAATTTCTGAGATTCCTTATTTGCCAACAGTTCTTGCAAACTACTGTAGCTGGAATGATTTGTTTTTATGTTTCGGACAATGAGCTCAAATGACAAAAAAAAAATTCATTTGAAATATTTTCAAACTTGTTGAAAATTTCTACTTTCTTTTTTTTTTTTTTTTCTCTCTCTACTTTCTAGAGTGACTGCTAGAGTTTTCATAGATATGATGATGTTTTTGGAACAGAAGTACATAGCAGCATCTGAAAATGCAAGGGATGCTTGACTTTTGCTTCCTTATTGTCAGAAAAAGACAGATACAGGTCCAGCTAGATAGCTCAGCAGACTAAAGCACCTGTTTAGGCAGAGTGCAGTGGCTGGGGTTCAATCCCCAGCCTGCCATGCTGGCCCCGTCCTTGGGGTGCTGAGATGGTGATTGAGACTGGGCATGGTGGTGCGTGCCTGTAATCCCAGCGCTTGGGAGGCTGAAAAACAGAAAGATCACTAGGAGTCCGATCCATGTAGTGAGACCCTGTAGACCCTGTACCAAATACATTTAAAAAAAGAAAAAATAAGACATACCTTCATGGGATAGAAGAGAAAGAGAGAAATTCTCAGGCCTTAATCCATGGACTGTTACCTACTAAAGACCAAGGTGGCTCTTCTTCTCTTTGCTCCTCTGCTAGAAATATAGTAAGCAGTCAGGGCTGGACCCCCCCCCCCCCAGGGAGTCAGTACAAAAGATAAGAATCCATCAGGACTGTAGCTGGAGGCACTTCTGAGGAATAAAGTCACAATGGCTAGTTTTACATACTTCTCTAAGGGACAAAGAGAAGCTTGGAATTACTGGTGTCACCCTTTTGAGATTTCTCATGATCTCATTAGGAGTAGGCAATCCTCTCCCATCTACTAAGACCACTAAGACTGAGACTAAGACTAAAGATGAGATTAAGAAATTATCAACCAAGGTTAATGATGTCACCCATGTACCCTTGCTACCATTAGATCACTATTACCTAAGTGATTATCTTTATAATCTTATTGGTTGATCATAATTTTTGCCCAGGTTGTATTTGCCTCATGATTTTGCTCTATAAAACTTCCTTTCAGAGGTGGGTTCATTGGCAACCCATTGAGGACCCCTCCTGTCTCTCAGGAGCTATTTGTATCCTTCACTTCCTCATTCCTAGTCCCATTTCTTTTCTCCAATAAACTTTTTTACTTTTAACCTGCATTGTTCTGTTGTCTAGAAAGCTTAATTGTTTATGATGACCAATGTAAACATGCCACAATAGTACATTTTAATAACATTTATTGAGGTGTCTCCCATAAGGAGAGAATCATTGGGGTTTCTATTAATGAACAGAGGCTGGGTAAATTCCCAGGCAGCTGTTCTTTTATTTACCAAAGAGAATTTTGACCAATAATTTTCCAAGCCTGAAGGGAACTAATTTAGTTACCTTAAATTTCAGATGACCTTTAAGAGAACCAAGTTTGATATCAAATTGACCAACTGGCAACCTAGCTGTAAGCATCCTTTTAAAATTTTGAACAAATGATCAAAAAATACAAAAGAAAAAAATTGGTGAGCTTAAATAAAAAACAGCTAGTAACTGATTGGACAAATGGACAAAATAGTACACTGCTAAACAGATTGGACAAATAGACAAACAAAATCAGAGTGCATTCAAATTGACCAAATTGAATTGCAGCAACTCTTTTATAGTTTTAGAAGTTTGTAATTATAAGTAGCCTAGTCAATTATATGTAGGTCAGTTAGTAGTGATCTCTTATAAGGAGAATTTGGAAGGAATAAATTCTTTTAACTATAGTTAACATATGTTTATTTTATATTTTATTTTGTCTTAAGAACACAGTAACTTTTGTATCCCTTTCTTTTATATAGCTTTCAGCTCAATTATATCTATACACTGTTACCTATTCAGACCTTTGGTTCACATTTTTGATTATCAGCTACTGGGCAACCTGGATCAATTCCTTCAGCTGTCCCCAGGTTGGAACTAGCCCCATCTTTATCTGTTGGCTGTGGCATAGTCTCTGAGGCATCACTGTCATAGGACTGAGTATCAACTTTTATTTATTTATTTACTTATTTAGCATCAGCTTCTTGAAAGGTGGAATCAACTCCTTCTCTGGGTCTGGGTCCATGACACAGCTGGACAGCTTGCTCTGGCACCCAGCTAGACCATTCAATATCTTTTGGAAAAACACAAGCATACTCTTTACTTCCAAGTGAATAGTGCACTGGGTCCCTTCTATATTGTCCAGTATGAAGCCCTTTCCATAGGACCCTTCTTGGCCTCTTTTCTTTTATTTGATTGTCTTTTTGCTGCTGTGGTCCCAACCCTAGCAGGATTTAAAAGGTTAATAATATATATTGTCAAGTGAAATAAATTGTGAGTTGTAAATTTTGTAGGGAACATTCCCCCATTTGTAGTTGAATTTTGGGAGTAGGTGAGCATGCTCAACAGTTCCTTGATTTTAAGGGATATAAGGAATTCTCATGGTGAGGGAAACATGAAAAGTTTTACAAAATGTTTGGAAGGTAGCACTCATAGGCTGGGCCATTGTCAGTCTCAAGTACACACGAGAATCCAAGGGTACTAAGGTCATCCAAGCAATGAGCAATCACATGTTTATCCACTTCACCAGTGTAGGCAGAAGCTAAGATCAATCCAGAGGGCTGAGGATATAGCTCACAGTATAGCACCTGCCTGGCAAGTGTGAGGTCTGAAGTTTGATTTCCAGGATGAAAAAAAAAGTCCTGAAGAAGTATCCATAGAATGTGGGCCCAGCATAGAGAGCCAAATTCAAAAATGTGAGAGCAACATCCATTTGCCAAAGATGATTAGGCAGTAACCCCTGAGGATTAGCTTCCATAGAGAGTGAGAGAAGCCAGGCATGATGACACACACCTATAACCTCAGCACTTGGGAGACTGAAGCAGGGGTGGCTCCTTGCAAGTTTGAGATGAGCCTGGGCTACAAAGTGAGCTCAAGGCCAGCCTAAACTGCTTATCAAGACCATGTCTCAAAAAAAAAAAAAAAAAAAGTGAAGGAAGATGTATTATGCATAAGGAACATTGTTTAACAATTTGTAAAGCCTGTTCCTAAGTTAAATGGAGCTGTTTGCACAAGGCAGAAGTGTTTTGATGAAAGGTGACATGGGGGGCAGAAGCCTATTGACTGGCACCTGAAGGAGTAACAGTGATAGTAGCCAGCAATCTGTCTATTGCAGCATTTTCCTCAATTTCCCTAGCAATTGGGAATGAGAACATAAATGACTGATAAAACAGTGGACATGGTGTGACTGAATGACAAACTGGGGAGTGGTGAAATAAATGAAAAAAGATCTTGGCCAGTGTATGTATATAGTGGCAGTTTCAATGTGGTGCACTACATCACAAATGTAAGTGCTATCTGAAAGGTTAATTAGAATAGATGAGTAACCTTGTAAGGCCCATATAACAGCCTGTAGTTCAGTCTCTCATGTAGAAGAAATCCGCATTCTGTATTTGGGCACCCAGGGCTCTGAGGAGATCTGCCTCTGGCTGTAGGTCCTGCCTTGGTGCCAGGCTCCATCCCCCACCTCTCATGCAGTTGTTGCTGCCTCTGCAGCCAGAGCTGTCATTTCTTAAAAATAGAAATTTATAAAAGATTTATAACAGTACAAAAACTACATTTATGTCAAAATATGCAGTGTCAATGTATTGAAAACTAAAAAATTGATGTAAGAAAGCAAAAAAGACCTAAATAATTGCAGATCAATTACATTGATCA